TATCGTTTCAAGTAGTTTTGGAAAAAGACATACTCTGATTTCATTGTAACCTGGAGCGTAGTGGGCCAGTTCCAAGAAGTAACCAGTTCTACGATCTAATGATCTGATTCCAATAAGATCAGTTGGTACCGACAAATCAGGCAGCACTAAGAAGACGTTGGAACCTCACAGCAAGAAGACCGCGCATGAGATATTCCGTGTCTTTTGAGATTTTTGTGATGACGAAAAAATTAGCTGGTTTACGACTGTTGAGTGCCATCGTATCTGCAAGATTTCACAATATACAAAACAAAAAAAAAACAATCAAATTTACGTGGAAGACAGACAAACAATTTCAAACAAGAGCTATGTATAGAGGTATACCATTGGAAGTGCTGCCCACAGAGAAAACTATGGGCTGGATGACACCTAGAGACTCATACCCGATTTCATCCTCCAGATCATCCTCCTCCACCTTCGGACCATCCACCACATCCTCCTCAGCTTGCTCATCCTTCACTATATTTTCCAATAGTGTTGGACAACGCCATACTTTGATTAAATTGTAACCTGGAGCGTAGTCGGCCAGTTCCAAGAAGTCACCAGTTCTACGAGTGAATGACTTGATTCCAGTAAAACCAGTCGCAACCGACATATCAGGCAGTGCTAAGAAGACGATGGAACCTCTTTGTTTCACAGCAAGAAGACCACGCATGAGATACTCCATGTCTTTTGAGATTTTTAATATTAGATATGATCTGACAATACAATTCATTCGCTTTGATTTTCGAAAATGCATGAAAAGTGCAAATGACCCATTTTCAGATGCTTCTTCAAGAGCTTCTCTAAGCTTATCTTCGTATAATTTTCTAAGCAGCAAAGCTTTTCTTCTAATATTGATTGGTGAATCAGAGTCATCTCTTCTTCTGCTCTTACTCATATCCAATATCAAAGCAGCACAGTGGTGAATTTGCTTCCATCGAGAAAAAATGCACAGAAGAGGAAACCAAAACAAAAAGAGAACAAATTTTTATCTTGGTCCAATAGAATAAAAACCATCCTAAGACTCGGCCCAATAGAATAAAACCATCTAAACCCTAATATTTATTCCTCTCCTTCGCTAATTTCTTGTTTCTTCATCCGAAAAATCATGGCTTCTTTTTCTTCTTCTAAGCCACCAGTTTCCGATGAGAGACTAAAGTTTCCGATGAGAGACTAAAGTACTTCGACACTAGTAGATGAGATCTGTGGGGTCTTGATCTTCTTCCAGAGCACAAGAAACACAAATTCAAAGTCATCGACGAGGAAACGTCTGACTATATTGGGATATTAATAAAGCGCTCATAGATAGGCCAAATTATTATTCCATAGCCGAGTTCAAGAACAAGATCAGTGCTGCTCTCCACCATGTAAATCTGGATCTGATCATCGATTACTTTCTTGGTGTTGGTGATTTGACTTAAGTAGGCAACAGATACGAAGAAGAACTCAGAGACAATCAAAGAATCAGCCTCATACATTCTGAGGAGAGAGATCACGGAGACGCACCTAATTTCACGCTCATTAAGGCCATGCTCGGCGATGTCGTGGACAGAGATAGCCAAGGTATAATTCTTTTAATCACGGGAGCTTGTGACTGCTCCGACACCTTGTTGATTTTAATTGAGAAAGAAATGAAGATTCTTCTTGCTCAAAGCAGACTCTCCTCCTCATATTTTTCGCAACTATGCACACTTGACTTGGTTTTGGGACATCATGATGGAGGGAGGAGAACCACACTATTATTATGAATGAGCACTTTCTATTCATCAACATGCCATCAATGGACTAATTTTCATCGTTGACCAAATTTTTACACCATAATCTTTTTGTTCCACATGGGAATTAGCATTGGAAGAGATGAATGCATCTTGATTAATTCTCTACTTTAATATTAGATATGATCTGACAGTACAATTCATTCGCTTTGATTTTCGAAAATGCATGAAAAGTGCAAATGAGACATATTGCTGATTAGTTACATATTACATTTGAAAGAATATGAGGTGAAGAAAATGACTTATAATTATTGAGAGATGAAGTAATGGATAAAATACTTGGATTCTTAAATGAAATTGTTGTTGATTTAGAAGACTACATCGAGGGTGTGAGAATGATGTGGAGAATCTCCTAGGGTTTGTATATGATAAAAAAAAAATTCTTTTTTTAATTCCCATCTAGTCAAAGAAGATTTTCTTCAAGTATACGACATATTTATCGAGAAATTACTCCAGGAGCAAACTTATTGCAAGGTATGTATATATTCTTTTCGATTTCTTCCCATATTCTCTTGATTTTGAGTTTTTGGTTACAAAATAATCTCATAATCTTTAATTTGTTTCCAGTTTCGAGTTATTGTGAAAATAATGTGGAAACTTGCACTTTATAAACTTGATTTTGGAATGTAACTAATTTAAATTGACACAACACACAAATGACAGATTTCCATGTCATATCATTCATAACTCTTTTTTGTTTGTATAGTAATTGGCAATAAGTAAAATGTTTTAGTTTCTTTAGGAAAATGTGATTGAGGAACCAAGCGATGCATATTTTTGGAGATATTGGAATTAACATTGGAATTGTCTTGGACCGGCGTTATAGAGAGACAATATAACCACGTTTTGGTAACCTATTGTGTTTTTCTATGAGGACGGTTATATAGTAATGTCAAGTGTAATTTTAATTTCTCTTGTTCTGGCCATGATTTAAGGAATTGAGATTCTTTTCAAGTTGAGTTTCGTGTCAAGTGAATTTACATCATCATATTGAAATGGAAGAGTGCCAAGAAACAAAAATTATGGTTAATATAGGAAAATTCACCAGTTATGTTTAAGAGATTTTATTGTCTAGTTTTGCTATTCAAATAAAGATTTTGAATACAATTAAATGCTATTGAAGACAAATCTCATATTTAAAAAAAAAAAACCCTTAAATGTTAAAAGATTTGAAAGTGGTTTCAATAAATTTTCATATTATAGGTAAAAAATCTAAATTATTACTCAAAAAAAGGATTGTTTTGTGTTTAGTTATAACAAATTCAGCCTTGTCAATAGAGGAAACAAAAATCAACATTTTTTGGTTAAATGAAATTTAAAACCACAACAATTAATCCTTCTTTGTCATATTTTATAAGAATATTTTAGACTCTTTTATAAGAAGAAAACCAATGTTTCTTTTAAACTGTATATTCTTTGAATCACATCAAATTCAGTTTTTAAGAAAATGATAACGGTTCTTTAAATTAAGTCATGAGATTTAATTTCATTGAAGGTTTCAAAGATCCTTGAATACATAGTGGGTTGATATACCTAACCACCAAGAAATAAATTCACTTTCTTCCATTTATGATTAAAGCACAAAAAATTAGATTGTTCTGTATCAAACGTTAACTTCTTACCTTCTTGTTTCTTCTTGGGTTTAGGATTGAATTCATGGAGAAGAAGAGTTTCCAGAGATCTGCTCTGCTTGTGACCTTGTCCATCTTCTTTTTCTTCATTCCGGTTTCAATCTCTGTTCCATTCATTCTCCTTCACGGTAAGTAACCATCCTTCTTCTTTCTCACCTCTGTTTTCGATTGATAAGACACACTAATGGATACTGATTGAAACAGGGATTCAAGATCAATGCTCCAATGGTGGAGTGAGCAGCTTCACACATCTCCTTAGCAACCTCTCTAGCTCCCCTGGATCTTGCTTGTACCGACACAACTCTAAACTCCTTTCTTTCTTGTTTCAACTCTAAATCTTGCAAAAAGGGTTTCATTGTTTTTCCATCTTCTTGTAGAGAAATAGGAAATGGAGAGCAAGATTCCGTGTCAATGCCGCTTACGCAACAAGCGAGTTTAGCGTGTGAGAAAGTGAAAAAGATGAAAGAACTGAGTCAGGGTTACAACATTGTTGCACAGTCTCAAGGAAACTTAGTAGCTAGAGGTCTTATCGAATTTTGCGACAGTGCTCCTCCTGTCTTCAACTATGTCTCCTTAGGAGGTCCTCATGCTGGCATCTCCGACATCCCCACGTGTACTGTGAGTGTTCTCTTCACTTTCTCAACTTATCTCTTTGTCTTAATCACTGTTACAATCTGAAATTTCTCTGTTTTAAAGTCTCAAGTATGCAAGTTGCTGAAAACAGAAGTCTACACTGACTATGTCCAAGTACATT